TTGTAAAGGCATTCAACACTGTCGTTTGTTTGTTTGACTGCCAATGGACTGTCCCCAAAAGAACATTTTTGCATCTCAATAGGCTGTCCCGTATCAACCATCTTTAAACTATAAATTTAACACTGTGAAGAACAGGGGGAATAGCATCTGCTTTGTACCATGCTAATATCACATTCACCAAATGAACAAATAATCATACTACTTTGCCCTAATCTAGAACCTGCATCTGCCCATCTCCAAAGGCCTGACAAACGCTAATTAACGAAGCTGCACAGCATCTGTGAGCCCCGCGGGCACCCGATCCTCTCGGAAAGAGATGGATGCAGATTCCTGGAGGCCCTTCCTTCTCAGTCAAGAGGCTCAACTGGGAGCTCAAATCCCAGAACTTGGAACTCAATGCCCACAGCCCCTGGCGGAACATCTCTGGCAGGAACAAGCAGCAAAAATCTTGCATCTTAAAACAAACAGACTTTGCTAAATACATTCACATAGGAAACTGAAGTCAGTTCAGATGCTTATTTCTCCCCTCCTTCCATGAAGAAAGTGGGCCAATAACTATGGTGTTTGGCAGAATCAGAGTCTATGAATGATCTCTGACATTCAGTTCGGACAAATGACTTGCATAAGTTTAGCTGAATGTTGATTTGCCATTCGCCACATACAGCAGCATATTTACCAACCAATCTTACTAACTCCTTTTTGTTTTACTAACAAGTTAAAAATGCATTTGATACTAACAAGATCTTTGTTTAATATGAGGTTTTGTTCCTATTGATGTGGTTATTAGTTAGAAGATAAAGTTATCTATTTTATAAAACCCAATCTAAAAGGTCAATTATAAGAATAAAACCTAGAATTTCTAATGCAGGAAATAATAAAATGAATACAGTTGTATATGAATAAGAGTCGATCCACTACACAAATATATAAATAAGTTAAATAAATAAATACCTTTGTGTAAATATATACAAAATAGAAGAAACTGGTCAGTAAAAGGCATGTAATTATGTTGAATTCTGAGTACACTACACTGTTCAACTTAAAATGAGAAAGAATATATAACACCAATTAACTTTTGTTTTTAGCACAGGCAATATTAAATAGGTTAACCTCTTCACAGAGACAAATTGTAAGTTTAAATGAAAACACTGCACTTTTAAAACATTGCCAAGAGCTTTCATGTTTTATAATATATTTTCTAGAAGTTTTAAGAGTACCAATTAAAGTTTTCATTGAAACATGGACTATTTCTAGCAAAAATCTAAAGGCTTTAATGCTTTTTTCTCCTCACAAAAACTATCACATGATTTTGTAGAGATATTGTCTAATTGATACACAACCTAAAAACCTAATTTCTTTTTTAAAATAACATTTTCATTGATTTTTAGAGAGGAAGGGAGACAGATAGAGGGATAGAAATATGAGTGAGAGAGAAACATCACTGATCAGCTGCCTCCTGCAAGCCCCTTACTAGGGATCAAGCCTGCAACCCAGGCATGTGCCCTGACCTGGAATCGAACCATGACCTCCTGGTTCATAAATTGACACTCAACCACTGAGCCACCGGGGGCCGGGCGATAGTTACATTCTTAAGCAAGCTGAGGATGATAATACTTTTTTTTAAAAATGGTTTTTCTCAATTCCTCCACTTCCTTAATCCCCTGACTTTAAGTTAGTGTTGCCTCATTTCAACTGTTTATTGTTTTCAGTTCCTCTACATTAGCTGCTGAGCAGCAAATCTTCAACGAGAGACTTAAATATGTTCTGCAGTGAGTGATCAAATTCCTTATCATATGATGTATACTTCTTAGAGGCTGCCATCTACTAAATTTTGAGTGCTGACAGAATTAAATACATGGATATTAAATACATATATTTAAACAGTGTTGGATCATTTTTCTGTGATTTTAATCACATTTTTAAAATTTTTCATTTTATTTATCTTTTAATAGTGCCTTTGGGAAGCACCAGTTTTATTGGATATTTGGAGTAGGAAGCATAGCTAATTTAATTTATTGTGAAATATTTACTGCATTAATCAAATTAACAACCTTAATGCACACATCTTAACTGGTAAACTCTTTAAAGATACCGAAGAGAATTTAAGCAGTGCCCACTCTGACTGAGAATTTGACAAGATTTTTACTCTGGTGGTAGAAATCAGCATTGAAATGTTATAACAGCAAACATGAACTTCTCAGCTCACTTCTCTGCCATCAGTTGGGAAAAACCCAGCAGAATATCACCATCATATTCACTAAAGTAAAAATGATGTATTTCAATTTTGTAATTGTAGAAGACCAGTGAATAGTGAAAATATCTTATAAAAATTTATAAGTACACAATTGAACTATGCAAAAATAATCTGCACATTTTGAATGAAAATACAGTGATCTAGGTAAATATAGACTTATAAAATACAATATTCGTCTTTGAGTTTAAATGGTAGAATTCAACATGATATTACTTCCCTGATTGGCATGGTATTTAGAAAGAAATTTATTATAAGAAATGGAAAATAGGTTTTAAAAGTGATTTTCTATCTAAATAGTGCATACAATATAGCATTAATAGAAGAAATATATTTGTAATACATTTGCAAATATAGTTTTTAATACTAAAAGTAAAAACTTGAATGTGGAAAATTTATCTAGCAGAAAATATTAATGTAAAATATTCCAACACTGGTAAATATTGGAAACATTTTTAAAGAGTAGGCTGAATGGAGTTTGGGTCATGCTATAAAGCAGGTAATTTTGTTGTTTTTTAGAATATTGGTCATTCTAATACATGTTTTTAACTCGTTTTTGTTATGAAATTCTGCTGTACTCAAAGTGAGGAAGGAAATATAAGAATCACAGACAAGATTCAAATTTCAAAATAGTCTGTTGTGTGTTTTTTTACTTTAGTTTTTTGTCCAATATGTATCTATATTTTTATTTAGTGAATGTCTTTATAGTTTTTCTTTGTAAACAGTATGGAACTGATCTCGTTATAAATATTTTTAAATTGCATATGTGACCTGTGTTGATTATTGCACTTTGAGTGGCAAGAGAACCTTCACATAAGCTTTTTTGGTGAATTACTTTATGAAAATTGATGTTTCTATCTCTCCCCCTCTCCTTTCCTTTCTAAAATCAATAAAAACATATTTTTTTTAAAAAAGAATAACACTATCATGCTCAGGTTTTAGACTTCCCTGCTTAATTAAGTATTCCTCATTACAGACTCTTAATGTATACAAATGGTAGCAGGAAAGAGAATATTCCAGAATATTTAAAGAGTCAAACCGTTTGGTATCCAGCGAAGCTGTCACAAGTGAGAACAAAGTTTAAGTGGAAGAAACAAGAAGGGAGAGCACTGGCGATAGAGGGGACACCATTTACACCACACTCTCCAGGGGCAGTATGAAATTTAAAAACCTAAGACAGATCGTTCCTGCCTTAGCACCAGAAACTGTAAGAGCACTTGAGACCAGAAAACTCCCGACATGCTGGAAAATAACCAGCATTCGCACTAATATAAAAGCAGCTCCCTATATATTTATCTAAAAGAAGCTCCCTGAACGGAACACCTTCTAGAAGGGCATAGGAACCATTTTCCTCCCTTTCAAAGTTCCCTGTAATGAACTGACTCTTCCCCTGTCAGAGTCTTTGTTACTCAGTGTACGGGGGGCATCACCTCTTCTGCATTCAAACCCGCCTCTTAGCTCGGGGCATGACTGCCAACAGGAGAAGTAACAGCTTTTATAATTAACGGTGCCCTCCAAGGTGTGTTTCCCAACTCCACTGAGAACACCTGAGAAGCACCGGTAGGCTCTGGAGAATGGGCAGGAAATGAGAGCCCAGTAGCCAGGCAGACGCGGGAAAGGGCCATTATTCTCCCGAGAATACAGGGAGAGAGAACCAGTGGTGTCTGACCTGCAGGTCGAACCGGGCCCGCTCAACTCCATCTCTTCCCTGGTTTTCTTTTTGTGTGATGGTTAGCTGCTTTCTGATCCTCCCTTAGGCACATGAACGAAGTTTCAAAATCACCCAGAAGCTCAACATTTTCTCAGAGCCAAGGTGAAATGACTTAAGCAGGGATACCTTTAGGCAAAAGGCAAGCATCGCTTATTGGGAACTCATGAATTTCCCAAATCTAAAGTATTTTCAGAAGAGAGCAATCGAGGATCTTATCCTATGCGGAGGTTTGGTTTTGCTTTTCCACATGGGACTAGGTCTTTTTCCCTTAACGAGCCCAGTCATTCAAAGGCACCGTTCTCAGTTCTCTTCTTTGAATGTTCTTCACGCCATTCACACTGAGATCTATCTCATTGTTTCCCTCTTCTTGGCAACTAAACAAGGAGCATTGTCACTAGCACATAATGACACAGTGAGTTAAAAAAAAAAAAAAAAAAAAAAAACACAACACACACACACACAAAAAAAAACCCCCCACCATGTTTCCATATTAACATCACAGAAGATTGCCTTTCTTTCGTGAGGCATGGTAATCTACAGGATGTGTGTTCCCCCTCCCTATCTCCCCCTTTCCCTTCAAGATACAGGAATTATTTAAAAATTGCATTCTTAGTGACTTAAGTCTCTGCTCACTCCTCTATTCACCACATACTGTCGCACCACCTAAGAATGTCAAAGTCAGTAGCAGGTGTGCGTCCTTCTGGGATTGTGAACCTCCCTTCCCGAACGCCGCCTCCTGTTTCACATAATCCCCAGGAATGATGGACCAGCATTCCGTCTGAGCCCAGAGCAGTGACAGACAGGGACTGCCCACCCGTGTGCCAAGTATGTGCCCAGGACACGCCCTCATGTGAGCTGCTTTTGGCCACTCCGTCCTGATACCTATGCATCCCCCGACAGACACAGGTCTTTGCCTTCGCTTCGTGAGACATGGCAATCTGCAGGATGTGTGTTCCCCCTCCCTGCCTGACCCCCCTCGCCCCCCTGAACCCTTTCCCTTCAAGATATAGGAATTATTGAAAAATGAAACCTTCCTACCCGTAGCAGGGACTGGGACTCATCCTTGGCCTTGTTCTCTGCAGGAGGGTACTGCTGGCTGATGGCCCCGGACTTCTCTCCGCCTGCGGGCACCGCCTGCAGGAAGGCCTTGGTCTCCACGGCCAGGCCGTAGATTGGGCGGGCCAGGTGGGCAGCTTCCACGTTGGGGCTGTCCCTCAGCGTCTTGGTCTGCTCTTGGGTGCCGGCCACCGGCGTCAGGAGCCCCAAGCTTGTCTGAGTGAAGGAGGGGCTGCCCCGGAGGATGTCCGCCCCCCTCCAGGCCATGGTGCGGAGGTCATCGCTGGGACTCTCGGCCCACACTTTCTCTTTGAGCCCGTCCTTGTCGTCCAGCTTCTCCCTCTTCACCACGCTCTCGGGGACCGGCTCTCCCATTTTAGAGTCCGGGTTGAGCAGACTGTAGACCTTGAGGTCGATCTTGGGCTCCTCCTTGATGGCGGGCACGGCCTGCCCATCCTCCTCGCCGTTGGCTGTAGTGCTGTCCTGCTCCTGGCAGTGAACAGTGTTGAAGTGGTCCAGTAGTGCCTGCGTGTCGGCCGCGGTGAAGCTGCACTGGCGGCATTTGTAGCAGCTGTGGGCTCTCCTGGGGAGGAGAAAACAATCATGGGAAACGGAGCACGCCAAGGGCTTCTTAAAAGAATTCGCCTCAAACACCTGAATGTGATCTCGTGTGATGGATGCATCAGGTGGAACACAACACGACAGTCTCAGCATCCAGAAATTGGAAGCAAATCAACCGGCCTTTTCAGTTCTACATAAAGAATGTTTGCATTCCCTGTGGTCCTAGTAGCCACAGGAGGTATACACACCTGTTTACGTGCACACACGCCAGTCAATTCACCTCCCAAGCTGGTTGGTTTACTTTATTATTGATTGGCCTGCTCTGTTTCATTTCACCCTGGCTCAATAACCATTGATTCTATATTATTTAAGCAGATAGTCATACATTCTTTACAGCTGATTTAGTCAATGGTCTTTTCACTTTATTTAAACTACATTGAGATTTTTTTTCTTCTTCACTACAAACACAAACACACACACACACACACACATCAGATGCTGAAGGGCTCTGTACAGCTTTTATATGTGAAATAAATTCTTCCCAACTATAATGTTCTTTTCTACCATAAAATTCAAATTGATTTAGTCAATGAAATATGGTTGAGTGATCGACATACTCTAGTAAGTAAGATGTATTAGAAACTCAAGATTTTTCTAAACAAACTGGGTGTCTGAAGGTGTGTCAAGAAGCACAATACAAATACATTCATTAAAAGAGTCTGTGTGAATCGGTATTTATGTGTGGGACTTCTTTTACAAGGCATAGAACTAGATCTTATTTGTTAACTTTTATGGCAGCTTCTTTTGTTAAAGACAAAAAAGTAACTGTGAAAATAAGACAAATGTTTGGTAAACAAGAAAGAACATTCTAAAAAGCATAACCAGAAAGGTACACACGGGTTTAGAATTAGGCATATTTTTCTTTAACTGGAAGCCTCCTGTGGCTCTCTAAAAACATGTGAAACACCTGCCACTCCACCGATCTAATGTGGTAGGTATTACCAACTTAGAGTAACGAAATATGACTTAAAGCCACTGCAAAATATGTACTCATATATGTAATGGTAGTTAATCATCACAGTATTACTTTGCCAGCTACTGGGTATGTGTTTGTGAATAAAAGACACATAGTCCTTGGTCTGAAAGTCTGAACAGTTTAGCAGTTTACTGCTTAATTGCCATGCTTTCCTCTCTTTCCATTAATAGTAGTCACACCAAGAACCTTTACATTCTAATTAACAAGATAGAAAGGGCATTACCTGTTTTATTAAAGTCTGGGGAGGCCAGGATGTCTTCTGAGTGTGGTCATAAGGGTGGCTGAGATCCCTTATATCTAGTAATATGTCTAATAATTAGGATGATGTGCTTTCAAGGTCTAATTATCGTGCAGTCTAGAAAGATCCTGACCCATCCCATCTCTTTACGAAATAATAAAAAATAAACACATCCAACCCTTATCCATTATTCGATTGGTACTTCCTCCTAAATTGAGGTGACCAGACATCCCAGGGGACGCGGGACAATTTGTTCAAAATCAGGACTGTCCCGCCAAAAGCGGGACGTCTGGTCACCTTACCCTAAATATGCGAGGTCTGGAGCCCCTGCCCAGACAATGGATTCATCTCAGACTAGCACACTGAGCCATCGTGTCTGGGCCTTCTAGGTTTTCTAGTTTCAAGTTCCAGTCCCAGTGAACAGCTCCCCGACTCCTGGCAGGTCTCAACAAGAGATGCTCTGATCTGCCCCACAGAGGAGCGCTTGATCCAACCGGCCCAGAAAACCTTCCATGAGTCAGAAGCTGGAGAACTGTCCCATGCAGAGAACTTGGGGGTTGGGTATAAAGCAACAAAAGAAACACAAACTACAGAGATAAGTCTTCGGTAATAACCAGGTTTTACACTGAAAAGGAAAACACGGTTTTAACAGGAAGGATATGAAAATAAGATGGTAATAACAAACTGAACTCACACACCTTTTCTTTTGAAGAGTTCAAAGCACTCACCTTTAACTAATGTATAAAGCCCATTTTACAGATAGTAAAATGGAGAAGCTGTGACTTACCCATTGAGTCTACATCAAGTCAAGAATGCAGGGCTTCTACCTCCCAGATCAATGTTCTATTTTTCTACCCTCTGCTGCCTCCATGTTTAAGTTTAGGCAAAAGTAAAATGACTGATAATACGGAAAACCAAGACATGAAACATGAAGCATGAAAAATGAAAACATGAGGGGATGGTAAAGGCTTTCTAACTGATACAAAAGAAAATGACTACAGCAATGATGTGCAAATCAGGCTATGTGCAACACTGCACCTTAAGGAGCTTCTTGGTGACCCATATTCCAAGGCTCCCATGTTGCTTTACCGAATCAGAATCTCCTGGGTATAATCAGGGAATCTGAACTTTTGACAAGCTCTTTAGGTGACACTAATGCAGGGATCAGAATCAACCCTAACAGAAGGATCATGGTTCCAACAACTCAACACTCAGAAGACATCCCCCCCCAACCTCCATGACTTTAATAAGGGCAGGAAATGCCCTTACTATCTTTCTTTTCAGAACCTTAAGAATCTGAGTAAACCTTGACAATTAGGAAATAAACTGTTAAAATGCTCAATATTAAGTTCTTTGAAGTCCACTAGATAAAGCAGAAAAGGCAATTTCCAACTTAGTACTCTAAAGACCTGAGTACTTCTTTCTCCCTATGAGACCAGCCTTAGCTAAATGACAGAAACTATACATAAAAGACAACTTTACTTTAAACGCTTGGAGCCATACAAATTTTTCAATAATCTATGCTAACATCTACAGCAATATTCTCAAATTCTAACATACACAGGTAACACCTGGTAATCTTGCTAAAATTCAGATGATTCTGATTCTGGAAGTCTGGGTTGGGACCCAACATTCTGTATTTCTTATAAGCTCCCAGACAATGCCAATGCTGTGGGTCCCCAGACTACTCCTTAAGTAGCAAGGATCACGAAGCCATGGTCAGAAATAACTTCAATATGGCTGTTAGTTAGTTTGGAATGAACTCTTCCATTGCCATATGAATTCTTTATGATGGGCAACATCCTTTCCTCTGAAAACATATACAATATTACCCACCTCGGAGAGTCAACACTAACAGCTTTATAAGTTAAAATTACAAACATGATATTGTCAAGCATAATCCCCCAACAGTAATTCATCTATTTATTTCATTGTGTTGGGGGGTCTTTCAATATTCTTTAATGCCAGGCCATTTATATATATATCCCACAACAATCACACTAAGTACATATTTTTGTCCCTAATTCACAGAACAAGAACCTGAAGCACAGACAAGACAATCCACATATGGCAGGCATGACACAGTATCTTAACTCTTGTCCAGATTACTCTTTCCACATATGGCAGGCATGACACAGTATCTTAACTCTTGTCCATGATTACTCTTACTGTTTGGTACTGGATGCAATATATCTAGCATGTTCAAGAATGAATTAAGATTTGGGCATATTCTAGGATGAGTGTCATCTCCTCAGTAATAACTGAGAAGACCTTCAACATAATGCCATGTCCCCAAAGAATAAAAAATAGATGATTTTGATACCTAGTCTTAGAAATATCACTCAAGAATAAAAGTTTAGTCATTGTGAGATTTTATTAGTTTGGACTCTCCTCGAACCTATTAAACGCATTTCATTTTATTAGCATTCATATGAAAAACCTCAAAAAGGTGCAGGGAATTTTCCTCCATTTCTTAAGACCCATATTAACCACTTTCTCATCCACAGACTTTCCAAATGACTCAGCCCAAGAGTAAATTTAGCAATCCTCGGTGTTGCTCTCAAACTGTCTTCCTCTGAGGATTTTTTCCATGTTGCCTTTTATTAAAGTCCTGTGTATATCTTACTTTGCAGTTGTATTATCATTGCCTTAACATCAAGATCAAAGCTCACACCCAACCCCACCCAGAACATCTAGTCAGTCAGTAAATATCTGCTTCATAGCCAAACGAGTAGACCCTGTGGGAGAGGAGAAACTTTTCTCCACCCTCCGGGTTCTTTTGACTGGTCTAATGATAAAATAGTCACAGGAAAGATTAGGAAGAGAAAACAACCAGATTTAACACATACACATGTATGGGGAACCCCGCATACAAGAGTCAGAAACTCCATATGAGGCCAAAGGGAACATGGATGATTAAGACATGCTGAGCTGGAGTGGATGAGGTGAGTGCCTTGGGCCTTCAAAAGGTTAATGCAAAATGATAAGGAGAACAGATGTTTAGTATTATAACACAACAGATCAAAGATGTTCTGTCTAATAATCTCCCATTATGGACAAGGCCCCTAGTTCAAGTTCTTGCAGGTAGTCAAGGGAGGGACAGAAGTTTCTCCTGAGCAGGCAGCTAACTTCACCCTTAGCTTAGAACAATCCACATATCAAAGAAGTATATTTTGGGGTGACTTGCTCTGAACCCCACAAACCACCATAGCTTTGAGGGAGTTCAGGATTTAATGTTGGGTTGACTATGTAGATCCATAAAGGGGCAGAGAAAACTAAGTGGTACATATTTTGCAGATGGTATATTTTGAGTGGTTCTCTGCATAAACTCTTCATTATTTACAAACTCCTTGAACTTCTGGATCCATTAAGCCAAACTAATTTAAAAGACACTACAAATAAATGCTTTGCATTAACTTAAATTGCATACTCTCTTGTCAACTCAAGAGCAAACACTTTCCTCTATCCAAAAAAAAAAGAAGTCATTTTATAGGTCTGCCTAGCATAGAGCTGCCAGATAAAATACAGGATACCCAGTTGAATGTGAATTTCACATAATAAATAAAAAATATTTTAGTGCAAGTATGTCCCATACTTGGAATATACTTATATAAAATCTCACTATAGACAATGAGGACATGTCTATCCCATTCCATATGGAGAATTTTTATAATAGTGAGCTCATTCCAGGTTTATCTTAGGCAAAGCCAAGGGTATCCTGGAGGTGAAAATGGCAGTTTAGACACATCTGAGTTTACTTTTGAGGGGAGTCAAAGGAAGACACTAATACGAAATCACTATGGCCCCCTTCAAGGTGTCAGCTTAGAGGGTAATTCACATTCTGCACAACCTCTCTGCTGGTGGCTCCAGGCTTAGACTCCTGATCAAATGCAGCATCCATATTGACATCTACCCTCAGTGAGACCTTCCATGTCGTGTTTGTCTCATTCTCTCCAGCAGGGGTTTAGTTCACTCATGGCAAACAGAGAAGAAAAATGCTTCAGAAAGTTTCCTGACTTCATGGAAGTCTAGCAAGGCATTAAAAAGTCTATTTTACACGGTATAGTCGTTTTGTAAGGAAGTAGTCCTCTAACTCCAGAAATGTAAGTTTACAAAACACTGAAAAATTTGATGTGGAGAATAGTGGCCAATTAGAGAAGGGGCCCACTGTTTAATTAAATAGGAAAAGAAACGGAGTGTGAGACACAAACTCATGAGTGGATATAATAACTCAGTCATGCTGTGAGCTGGGGCATCAAAAGTCAATATGAAACACTAAGAAAACAGACCAAGGCCCAGTTCCTGGCTGGACAATGTCTGAAGTTCAACCCAGTTAGACGTGGTTCTCTGGGAAAATGCCCATGCAATCCACACGGAGATTATTCCACTCACAGCTCTATATCAGCTCGCCTGCTTTTAGGCTGTAGTTATTTTATAGCCACATGATTTCACATATTGTACAGTTCTCAGCTTATACTACCTTTTTACTACGCTGTAAGTCTTGTATATAAAACACTCAAAACCCTAGACTATTGCACAGTAAAAACAGAACGATGGTGAAGGTTTCCCCACATAAATAATATGAATAAATTTAACCATAAAGATATTGGGATATGGTAAACTTGTCCCTTTATGCTATCTTCAAACTGTGGCAGTTGGGGAAAATGCTTTGAGAGCAGGTCAAGGTTTTCAACTTCCATGGGACTGCTTTCTTTCACATCCCTGCAGCTTCCATTGGCTGGGACTCCTGAAAGCGTCCTTGTCTGAGTTTCAAATATTTCTACAAGAACTCGTAAAAAGACTAGAGGTAAAGTGCTCAGCAACTTAAAGAGTCTAGGATCACACAAACTCCATCAGGGTTTAAGGATAAGGGCAAGATCATTTCAATGCTCTAAGGTCAAGTGTTGTTCAGATTTTTTTTAATCTAATAAAATACTGAGTGGTAGACCTAAATTTAATAAACTGATGAACAAAATAAATCCAGAGACATGGAAGCATGGAACATAACAAATCTCAGAAGGAAGGGTAAGGTAGAGGGGTCCTACGGGGGAAAAGGGACACATGTGTTATACTTTCAACAATAAAGATAAATTTTCCAAAAATAAAGTGTAAAGAAAAATGTCAGTTTGTGTAAAATCAAGGTCCTCAGAGGATCCAAGACCATATAATAGTCAAAGATTCAACTTGAACTTACCATGAAGCTCTCAGCATATCCAAACTATGGTGAAGTCAACATCTCACGGGGATTTCATTTACTCAAAGCTATTCGCTGAGCACCTATTCGCCATCCTGGCACAGTGACATCATGCAGACACAGCAATAACAAGACAAGACTAGTCTCTTCCCTCTAGAGCTTACTCTCCGTAACAAATATTAAGTAAGCGTTGAGATTATTCTGTCACATTTGCTATTCATACTTTGATTTCTGAGGAACTCTTTTGTTTCACCAGAGCATAGAGGAACTTTTTCTCTCAGACAGATTTTTCAAGCAACGGCCTCAGCTTCTGGGAGAAAAACCACTCCTCTCCATGAGGTGGTATCTACATGGATCTTAGCGTGTGTGCGTGTGTGCCTGTGTGTGCGTGTTGTGGCTGATTCCCTCATGATTGAAGAAAGCCTCCTCCTTCAACACAGGAGTGGATTACCTAATTTTTACATCACCTGACAAATGTGTGTGCTCCATATACACACTGGCAAAGCTCAGAAGGAAGCAAAGATCTGTTGGGTCCTAGGTCCTAATTAACATGCAGCTAACACTGGAGGAGCCTGAAACACTGCAAGTGTGAACATATTTGATGGCGGGGTTGTATCGTTCCCGCAGCTGACCTTATAAATTAAACAGTGCAAACCATAAGGAAGTGTTTTCTGAACATTGACATGCACCGCGAACATTAGGATGCCCTTCGAATTCACATCTCACGTCATTAGCCTACTGTTGTTGGACTTGTACTGCTTCACTACTGGCCACTGAGAAAACACATGCACTCAAGCACGAACCTGCAACTTTGAAAAAGAACGGGAGGACCCGTTTAAGATCTTGAGAAGCGAAAATCTGTAAATTAGGAAATCCAGTCTACAGATGGAAAAGCACTTAAAAATCGTCAATAAAACCCTTCACTTGGATGCTTAGAGGCATAATAACAGGAAAGCATCCAGTAAGCACCAAGTTATATCTGAACAGGCTGTACCACCAGGATTTTGCTACCTGAATCCCTACTCATAACCAAGTCTTAGTTTAAATGCTCCTTCCTCAATGAGGCACTTCCTAATCTACCATATTGGGCTGTGCTGTGGTCGGCAAACTGCAGCTCGTGAGCCACATGCGGCTCTTTGGCCCCTTGAGCGTGGCTCTTCCACGAAATACCATGGCCTGGGCAAGTCTATTTTGAAGAAGTGGCGTTAGAAGAAGTTTAAGTTTAAAAAATTTGGCTCTCAAAAGAAATTTCAATCGTTGTACTGTTGATATTTGGCTCTGTTGACTAATGAGTTTGCCGACCACTGGGCACGCTGTCATTGTAGTCAAACATAGTGGCCTCTGCTTCGTCTTTAAGATACCCATCACTCTGAAGATCTGTTGAGCTTTCCTGCTAAGCTACGTTCCATGAGGGCGCTGACTATGTTTGTCTTGTTTTCTCCTTTACCGGAACCTGGCATAGTGTGTATTTTTGGAATGAATCAGTTGAAGGAATGACTACCTAAATGAAATAAAGATCCGAATCCTAAACTCACCTCTAGAAAATATAGAAATTAACTGGGAAAACTGACATCTACAAAAAGAATAGAGTGAAAGGAGCAGGAAACACTGACATACTCTGTTTACAAATCTGAGATAACTTCAGCAGCGTCACCTGTTCAGAGGAGGGAGTGCTGAAATCCTAGTCACACAGATTACCGAATTCTCACCATCAGGTGACAGTTTGTATGCAAAAAGAAGGTTGTTGCTCAATGTTTTAAAGCACACAGACTATCCAATCTCATTGCAAAAAGAGAAATGAGCAACATGTTCTCAACCAGACCATCTCCAGGTTGAAAGAAAGGAACAGAACAAATTATAGCAGTATCTTGCATTTGGGAGAGGCTCCATAAAAAAAAAATTTTTTTAAATTATGGACTACGGAGCCATCCTTAGCAAGGACAAATAAATGAGTTGTGGCCAATTAGTAAACCCATCGGCATTATCAGCACCTCTGTGGATTTTAAAATGCACTTAGTAAATGGTAAAAAACAAAAAACAAACAAACAAACAAACAAACAACAACAACAAAAAACCCAAACAGGTAGAGAACGTAGGCTAAATGGTCTGAAATGAGCGATTCAATTAGAATCTGCGGTTGTCTACAAATATATGACCTGCAGTTCGATGAGTGATCTTTTAGGTGAGCTTGCCCATCAGCTTCCCCAGGTCACCCCCATCCTTCCCACATCATTCTGCACCGCCCCCTGGATTCTTCGAACTATCAGTTTCTCGAGGGGCCCCGCCCACACCCCATGGCTTACCTGTAGTGTCGGGAAATCTCTTCCTCCACCTGGGTGATGAAATCGCATTTGGTACACGCGTGCTCCTTGCTGTCCTTGGCCGCCGGCTGCCCGTCCAAGGCCCCTGGCAGATGGTTGGCCTCCTGTTTGACGTCCGAGGCCTGGGGCTCGTGGACGCTCTCGTAATGGAAGAGGAGCACGTCCACGTCGGGCGTGGAGAAGGGGCACTGGTGGCACTGGTGCTTGACCCGGGAGCTCCCGGCCGCCCCGGGAGACAAGTGCAGAAGCAGGAGCGCGCAGTGGGAGCAGCTGCTCTTCCTGCACGCGAACGGGTAGGTGATCTCTCCCAGGTGCTTCTCCGGGCTGCAGAGGCCTCGGGGGCAGAAGGGACAGTGCTTGATGGTACACTTGTGGATGTTATGGAGCTGCTGGTAATGACGGAGCAGCGGGCCCACCACGATGACGTCGGGGCCATGGCTTTTGGAATACCTGAAGTCGCAGAACTGACAGTTGTAGCTTGTCACCACGTTGTCCTCGGCCCCCTTGGCGGAGAGGTCCTTCTTTTTAGTCCCCCCGGAGCCCTTCTCGGCCTTGGCCAGGGGCTCCCCTTCTGCGCTTTTGGCTAAGTCATTCTGATTGATGACCGAGCCCCTGCAAAGCTTGTCGTTCAATTCTGGATTCAGGCCGCCTGACGTAGCTCCCCCGTGCTGCTTGCCGTAATGCTCCAGCAGCTTCAGCGAGCTGGAGGACTCGCAGCTGAAACTGCAAAACTTGCACCAGTAGTAGCTGGTGGCCTCCGTACCATTTTGTCTGGAGGCATCCAGGGGCTTGATGGGCACCGAGTAGCCCACGGGAGTGTCATCGCCCGCCTTGACCGTGATCTTGTCCTGCCACTTGCCCAGGTCTCCGGAGTCACTGGGTCGAAGCGCAGGGATGGATTTGCTAGAGTTTTTCTCTGAGGGCTTGGCGCCCTCCGAGGAGGGGAGAGGAGCTTTTATTTTGTTCGGGTGGGTCTGGAGAAAATGTTGCTCTAGCTCGGTTGACGAGTTGCCCATGTAAGTGAAGTTGCAGAATTTGCAGCGGAAATACTTTGTGTTGCCTTGGCAATCGGGCGTCTTCCGGCCAATGCCAATGAATGTCCCACCTGAAGTGACCTGGTATGGAAGACAGGGATGTTACTTTACAGGTGTCCTTAACCCCATGCTCTCCGGAGGGGGGAGGAGAGGACACGGGCAAGGGTTCCACATTAAAAAAAAACAATACAACAGTACTTCTGCTTATTAGGAAACCACTTGAATAATCAGAGCCAACTAAATCCACTCTCCATTATTCAATAGCGCCTCTAGGAGAGGCTCATTATGCTAATCAGTTTGGGCCAAAGTATCAAAGAAGGTAAGCCGTAAAAGGACTACAACGAATTCAAAGGATTAATAAGATATACTTTTCAGAAAGAAAGAAAGAAAAAGGCAAAGAAAACCATTTTCTCCAAAGTAGATTTTGCTAACTGTTGCCCTCAAATCCACTTCCTGCAATAGCATCCAAACCATGCTGGGATTTCTCCTGACAAAACCGAGTGCTGCTGTCAAAACCGGAGGCAGTTGCTCCGAGATTACTCAATGCCGAGGTTCTCCAAGGGGATCCTCTGCTCAGCTTCTGCAGCGATGAGACTGCAGGCCAAGATGCCGTTTACTTTTGGGGGGGTCAAACAGTGATGCTGACGTGACTCCTCAAAATGGCTTATAATAGCCAAAACTGGTTTGGCTCAATGGATAGAGCGTCAGCTTGGGGACTGAAAGGTCCCAGGTTCGATTCCAGTCAAGGGCATGTACCTTGGTTGCAGGCATATCCCCGGTAGGGGGTGTGCAAGAGACAGCTGATCGATGACTCTCTCTCGTAGATGTTTCTAACTCTCTCTCTCCCTTCCTCTCTGTACAAAATCAATAATATATATATATATATATATATATATATATATATATATATATATATTTTAAAAATGGCTTATAATGACAAAGCCTGAGCATGCATTATAAGGCTGAAAATGAAATGAATGCAGTGGGCTTGAAGTCTTGGTGAAGGAGCCCAAGGTAAAGGTTTAAAATGTTTCCCGGTGTAGGACAAATGAAAAAAAGAAAACAAAACAGAGATGCATTCAATTAAAGTTCTATCTCCTAGCAAAGGCCCCAGCCCCTCCTAAGAGGATTATTCAAAGGCCAAAATGCAAACATTCTACCTTAAAGATCGCCCCCACTATGCATTTTAATTATAAATGTGTAGAGTATCTAGGCAATAAAGGCCTTCAAAGGGCATTTTATATAAAATCCTCACTCCCTCCTCAGTGTATATGTCAACAGGTCGTTTATGAAGGGCCACCACCAAGCAGCCAAAATTCCTGGTTTACTAAAGAGTCTTTGACTGAAATGCTTCAAGGAGGGAGAGAGGTTTTCCTCCAACTATCAGAGAATTTTTGAATGTTTCCAGTACCAGATGTCATACAGTAAGCACACGGCATAATCCTGTTCCGCCTTCTTCAACAGCTGCTCAAACATGACATGTGTGATCACTGCTCACATCCAAAGCACACCAGGAGGAAAGTCTCAAGCTTCTCAAAATCACTGTGAAAGGTTCTAGTGAATATGCAAACAGTTTTCCTTCAGACGCTGAGAGGGATGCCTGTGCCCTGATGGCACAGGACTAAGACTGAAGTCCATTCTTCTACTTGGAGGCAGTAGTGACTGTGATCAATGACTTAACCTCTTGGAGCAGTAGATTCCCGCTGGGGAACTTCTACATGTATTTCCAATATTAAGGTGGTAGGACATGCATATGAAGATGTAAAACAACTCAACATGCACTGAACACCAAGACCGCCATTTATGAAGTTCTCCCAGAGCCTTCAAAGGAAGGACAATATTTCATTTTTGAAAATGTCTATACCCACCATGGCAAGCACACAGATTCAGCCTATCACCAGGAGAGCATCAGGTCACTTGAAGGGGAAGAATGCCCCCCGTCCCTCCCCTTTGTAGGCAGCACCTACCAATCAGTGGTGTGAGAGACATCAGAGCCAGATCATATGAAGACACAGTCATCACTTGAACCTAGCACTGCAGTGACTAAAGTCTGCCCCAAAATGGAATGCATACTGCACTGCAAAATTCCTCCAGCCATTTCCCAATTCACTGGAGGTGGGGAGAAACCTCATTTTCAAAACATAAAACATTTAAATGAGATGCCATCCACTCAGTTACTTTGTTCCTGGACTTGGACTTATATCAAACGGGGGAAATTCAGCCAAAACTGGTTTGGCTCAGTGGATAGAGCATCAGCCTACGGACTGAAAGGTCCCGGATTCGATTCCGGTCAAGGGCATGTAGCTTGGTTGCAGGCACATACCCAGTAGGGAGTGTGCAAGAAGCAGCTGATCAATGTTTCTCTCTCATTGATGTTTCTAACTCTCTATCCCTCTCTCTTCCTCTCTATAAAAAATCAATAAAATATATTTAAAAAAAGGGGGGGGTATTCAGAAGTATTCCATTCTCTTCTAATGTAAGCATAGAAAGCCAGTGTGCAAAATCTAGATAGGAAATGTGCTCATTTTCGCCACCACATTGCTTCAGAACTGCTGAGCTTCCTAATAGAACATATTTCTGACTGACTTTCGCTGTGGAACAGGGATTCCTGAGAAACCACGACACATCATGATTTCTTCGATTTTGTCATTTTCAAGCCTTGTGTTTATGTTCACATGGAAAGGGATACAGACAGCACACGGAGTCTTAAGAAATGCCACACATCTGATTTTGAAGTGAAATTTAAATTATTACGAAGCATCACAACATACTTTGCACTATTTTTTGGGCAACATCAAGAATCAGAAAAATTCAAGCTAAGAACAACCATCAGGTAAAGAGTCTATAAAAGAAAGGCCATTTCAAAACAAACAAATAAGTGTCGTTCAGGCATTTTGGTTTAGGATAAACTAAGCTGCTGTGATAACTACATTAAATCTTTTAAGTTGGTGGTGTTAATGTGGCTAAAAGTTGTATGTTTCATCCAGCTATAATCAGCCAATTCCATTACTTAGGATGCTCTTACTGGTTATATATTTTATGCTGAAAGGTGCCTTCATCTACAACTGACTGTTCTTTCAAAACCACCCAAGCAAACAAAGAAAAACAAAAGGACCTCATTTGATGGCAAGAACAACAGTACTGCCAATTCTACAGGTTACTGATTTGCCTTCTTAATAAATAGCAGTAAATCAGACCAGCATTTATTATATAAAAGCTAATATAATATTAGAATTACATACTTTATATACTATAAAGCCAGCTTTGGAAAACATAATTACTCAGTGTTATATTCCTTTCTCTTTCAAAAGAGATTTAAAAAAAAGATCTATACTCCAGTCATGGTGAAATATAATTGGTGTATATCATTTAAATTCCCTTCCGAAATAAAATGTAGTTTATTAATTTAGGAGATGGTTAATTTATGTTTAACCATTCCTAAGACAATTGAATACATTCATTTTGTTTTCATGAATAAAATGCTATTCATTTTATTATAATATTGTTAATTTTATAGGTTAAACATAAATACACAGCAAACAGCTATGCAAGGTAATTATGTGCAGTGTTTATTGGACATTATTGCCAGGAAATAGAGCTACCCGTTCAAAGAATTATCTCAAACTTTTCAAATGGTTAAACTCAGCAAGGAATAGAAAGAAAAAATACCCCCTAGCTATGATTGTGCTAGACAAGAGATCAGAAGCAGAATAAAGATGATAAGTTTCGAATTTACTTCTTTAGTTAACCAGAACTTTAATTGTAACCCATTAATTCAGTAGTCCTTTTGATATGGATATCTACACTTTACAATTTCTACTAAACTGTAAATTCGGTTTGGACTAACTACTGATTCACACAATTAGTATTAAGTAGCTATTGAGAGTTTAACTGTGCCCTCTCTGTGATAAATATCAATTTACAACAGTAAATAAGTTGGACCACCTCTCTGCCTTTATTTTTTTAAAATATATTTTATTGATTTTTTACAGAGAGGAAGAGAGAGGGATAGAGAATTAGAAACATCAATGAGAGAGAATCATCGATCAGCTGATTCTTGCACACCCCCTACTGGGGATGTGCCCACAACCAAAGTACATGCCCTTGACCAGAATCGAACCTGGGACCTTTCAGTCCGCCGGCTGACGCTCTATCCACTGAGCCAAACTGGTTTCAGCGACCTCTCTGCCTTTAAATTACTCACAGATAAAGATCAAAATCTGTAGCTAAAATCCTTTAGTCATCTGCATTTAGCTTTACGTGCATTTGTTCGTTCCTGAGGGAAATTCTGTAAGCCAAATTCTGTGGAAAGACACTTTATGCAATCTCCTGGCACTCCGTATCCTCATCATCATGGATATAATCAATACTGCACACCTTGTCATTTTACAGGATTATTGTGAGGGTGTAGGGAGTACATGGGCCTGAGAGTGATTTGCAAAATCTAGGCCAGAGAGGTCCAAGAGGACTTTCTGAGATGAAGGAAATGCTCTGCAGCTTGCCACGCCCATGGTGGACATGAGCACATCTGGCTATTGAGCACGTGAAATAGGGCCAGTGCAGCTGAGGAACTGCTTTTCCTTTTTCTTTTATTAAATTTTATTTATTTAAATATTTTATTGATTTTTTTTTAAAGAGAGCAAGGGAGGGGGATAGAGAGCTAGAAACATCTATGAGAGAGACATCGACCAGCTGCCTCCTGCACACCCCCTACCAGGGATGTGCCCACAACCAATGTACATGCCCTTGACTGGAATGGAACCTGGGACCTTTCAGTCCGCAGCTCTATGCACTGAGCCAAACCGGTTTCATCTGCTTTTTCTAATGTAAGTAGTTTTCATACATTTTTCACTCAGTTAGTCTTAATGAACTGAAATTTAAAGAGCCCCACGTGACTAGTGAATGCCACAGTAGACAGTACGCTCTACAGTACCAGTCACAGAAACGGAATTATTCTTGAATGAAATGAACTATCTGGTTGAATGTATTCTGCCAACGGGAAGAAAAGACTGAATAGATGGGCACACGGAGAAATATCTCACTGAGGCCCCTGAGGGATCTGGAATACACAAGGGATAGTA